TTCAAAAAAAAAAAATTGCTCCTAAATATTATGTTTAACGTTATTAGACGTTTTAATTGTCAACTAGTTTATTTCTTCCTTCTTAAAGTAAAGAAAATTAAAAGTTAACTTTCTGGCTGCGACCATTTCAATTTTTCTTTTAGAAATTAACTTTCTGGAAACAAAGTGTAGGCAATGCTTAAACTTTGCTAACTGAACAACATTCAATATCCTGAATAAGTGATATCTAATATCGAAGCAAGGCCAATGCCTCTCGCTTAAACGTCTCACTGAGGGGAACAAAGACATCCCCTCAATCAATGTGGAAAATAAGTTGTACGCTACATCTCGCTTAAACCACACTTTGCACCAAGTCACTAAGGCATGCATCTCATTGTCCATAGACTCTACACTAAACAATAAATATTGCACCTAATAGTAATCTTTCAAGAATTTGTTGTCTATCTAATTGTTGTTTGAGTTTATAGATATTACTCGTGAATTACATATACGTATATATATTTTTTTATATTCCTTAAATTGCACGTGTTCATAACAAAATGATGAAGTAGTTTCATTAATGGCATTAAGCACATGCAAAAAGAACAACAGATGATGACAAAGATAGTTTCAGCTCCTATACAAGTTTGCTAAGGCAGATACAATGAGCCAACAAAATCCAAAAAATGATCAGGGGAATTTACAAGGGAAAAATTACACCAACTAAAAAAGAAACAAAAGACATCTAGCTTTACTAACGCTTGCGCTTAACGCCCCAACTGGCTTCCGTGCCTTTTTGCTTTTTCCCTTGGATAACACGGGCAGTTGAAGAACCTTGACTCTGCCATTAAAGAGGAGCAAAAAATAACTGTGATCATTCCAATAACAAACAACTTGAACTTACTAAATTCAGGTTACTGCTAAACCATATAAGTTGTTAAAATGCAGTGAGACTTCGAAGCAAGATGAACTTCTTGATGGAAATATGGCTTGTTAATTAGCTCCACAGAATAACAAGATCAACTTTCGGAAAATCCTCTGAAGACATACGACAAAACACAAATAACCAAGTTCAATTTTCAGACTTTCCCTTGCATTATATCTAATTGTATTTACAATTTTCTGTGTTCATTTTTATATGATTCCAGAGGCTAAGGTGTGCAAATCAACTACTCGAAGCACAATTTCAGAAGCATAAAGAATAATGCATTCAAATATTACAGGATATATTGAAAAGAGAATTAAGTTTAAAAATCCTACAGAGTGCCCAGCAAGTGGCCAAGCCAAAATACCACATTAACATCAATCAGACATGACCAGGCTTTTCTATAATATTTCCAGGGGTAAGTGGAGTAAACAGGAGCGTTCAAATAGATAAATACCTGACTCACAGCTTAGAACTGTCTCCAACAGACAGAATATCCAAAAGGCAACAAGCTACAAAAAAGTGATGCTTCAACTAAAACATCAATGTTTGGAACAAACTTTGCTCTGGTGGTATGCTTCTTGTTCTAGGTAAAGTGAGGGAACTTTGCTCTGGTGGTATGCTTCTTGTTCTAGGTAAAGTGAGGGAACTTTGCTCTGGTGGTATGCTTCTTGTTCTAGGTAAAGTGAGGGAACTTTGCTCTGGTGGTATGCTTCTTGTTCTAGGTAAAGTGAGGGGTCAGGTATGAGAGACCACATAAGAAGCCGCGTTGACTTGCTATATCATAGGCGTAACTTACTTGTCCTTAGGATACGCGTATGGTCTTGGATTGGGCTACCTCACAAGGCAGCGTCTTTTACAGAAACATGTGTTTTTTTAATTATTTTCTGTAAATAAAAAGCAGCCACCAAGAACATTTCCTCTTAAAGTTCTCTTTCTATTCAAAAATTGACACCCCCACTTGTATTACATTTTCTAGAATATGTGTTTAGTATGCCTTCCTTTGCCATATTTAGGGGTCTCACCCTTTTCAATGTCAATACCTTTTATCTTCAATATCATAGTTAACCTCTATGCTTTTTCCTTTTTCGTCTTTTTAATAACTTATTGCACATTCTACTTGATTAAATAAACAGTTATTATGAACTTGTTTTTCAAAAAAAAAAACTTTTCCATTTGTACAGATCATTTGACAGTGAGATCTGCTCAATAACCAAAGCATCTCAGGCAAATGCCGTTTGTCTTAATGCACGTCAATTATACAATGTTCGGAAACCACATAAACCATGCAGGCAATGTGATAAGTTCTGCTGGTGTTGGAATGTGGCAAGACTTCAAACTTCATCCATCTAAACAACTAACCAGTTATGACCTCTTTTTTAGCAGTAAGCATAGCTTAACAACTGAATTACTAAAATGCAACTCGTTCAAGTGTATGGTACTACCATATGTTGTTGCTTGCTCCTGATTAATACTCTTTAGTTTATTGATTGCAAAAAACTAAAAAGAAATCAACGATCTTCCCTATTTCAGAAGTGATCATTTGTGTTCATTGTTTAACATAGAAAAAGAAAATAGAAAAACAGAAAACAGAAAGAAAGAGAAAACATATTGGAAGGGCTAATCAGCAAATGAAAAAATATACACAAATAACAAGCAAAGTAGTATTGCTCCAATGATCACATAGCAAACTAGATTGGCAACTACTGGGCCGACGATAGAAGTTCCAGCCCAGATTAATACTGGCAACCTGGGATACACCAAGATTAATGGCATTGTCAAACCATGAGTTCCCAATAGCTCTTATATTTCATACTGGCAACCTGGCATACACCAAGATCAGTGGTGTTTCCAATCCATGAGTCACAGATGCGTGTTCTTGTTTCTAACCATACTTTACAAGCCATAATTTTTTCTGAAATCAGATTTGTCTCACGACATATAGCAGCCCATAAATTGACTTAAGTACAAGTGTCTTTTATGCGGTTTTTAATGGCAGGAAAGCATGACTAAGTTGCCAATTGGACACTAATAGCCTGTTTGGCCAAACTATTTTTGGGCAAAAAGTGCTTTTAGCCAAAAATTGAGGTGTTTGGCCAAGCTTTTAGAAGGAAAAAAAGTGCTTTTGAGGAGAAGCAGAAACAATTTAAAAACGTAGCTTCTCTCCAAAAGCACTGAGAAGCACTTTTGATAAAAATACACTTAGAAACAGTTTTCAAAAGCTTGGCGAAACACTAATTACTGCTCAAAGTGCTTTTCAAATTAATTAGTCAAACACAAACCGATTCTCACCAAAAGTACTTTTTTGAAACGCACTTTTGAAAAAAACACTTCTCAAAATAAGCAGATTTTAGAAGCTTGGCCAAAGAGGCTATAAAACTCCTTTTTCTGCAATATCATGTCTCACGCCATTAGCTGGTTAATTAATATGTAACAGTTACTTAGGGCACACAGCAATGCATTGAAGTGAAGGTTGTGAATAGAAAAAGGAGTGGGAGCTCAAAAGATCACATTAAGAGACTCAATCCCATTAAAATAATGATCAGGCAGCAAGGCAGAAAAAGAAGAATACCTGTTGCATTCTGACAATTAGAGCAGCCATCTCCATCTTATCTTGGATCCTTTTGTCCATTTCTATTCGCATTTGTCTACGCACCTCTTCCATCTGCTCTTGAAACCTTTTGTCCATTTCAGCTCGCATTTGTTCACGTTCTTCTTGCAACTTTCGCTCCATGTCAGCTTGCATCTCATGACGCACACTTTCTATTGCAGAAGACAGGGACCCTAAGTCTGCCAGTTGCATGCGGCTCTTTGTGAGAGGCTTCTTTCCATAACCTTTTCCACGAACATAGCCTGTTCTCTCGCCAAGTACAATGGCTAAAATCTCATCTCCATTCATTGGACTCTTGTTTTCTTCATATTCTTGCTGACCCACAAGTTCCTGGATCTGGTCCTGCAATTATGCATGAGCATTTATAATTAACATATAATAATAAATATATAAAAATAATAAGCCAATGATTGTCGGAAATTACATAAATTTGTTGAGATCGTGGATCTGACCACAGCAGTTCTCCTTTATCATTCTTACGTGTATGTTGGAGCTCCCAGACACGATCTGGTGGTGCCTTTTCTCCAGTAAGAGGATCCCTCTACAATATATTTCAGTAGAGGAAAACACATGTGAGCACATAATACGGCATAAATAAATAACAAAGAAGTGTATGATTGTTAAAATAAATGCATTTTCACCGTAGATTCCTCTACTTCTGCAAAAGACTTTGAGCCACATGAATGCTTAGTTGTTTGCTTTTTCCTGTTTGTTTTGTTTCTCTCGCTTACAGCCTGCAATTAAGTCAATAGATTAAGAGACCAATATCCAAATGATAATATACCAAACATTCTTTTATCAAGCTACCTTGAATGTCGGACTTCCAAAATATTGTACCAGAAATTCCCAATCCTCAGGCATAACATCTTTTGGCGGATGGGACAGTCTCTCCTCATCAGTATTATAACGTGAGTATTCAGCATGCAACCGAGTCTTCCACGTTCTAAAAAGCCTTTGCATAGTGCTGGCTACAAAACCTTGCAACACATGCTCTCCCCTACCGCCACCAACTTCAAATTTCTCCTGAAACATGTATGTGAAGTTATAACTCTCTTTTTGAGAGGTAAGGTAATTTTATAAATAAACTAGCATAAAGAAAGTTACAATTGTTATCCTAACAACATAAATAATGCATGATTTATAGAATCAAATATTGATAGTAACATATTACCTGAACCTTCAGCCACATCGCTTGTCCATGCCTTGCAAAAACTTTTGCCCACTCACCATCTCTGAATGAGATAGTGCTCCTCATGATCAAGCCACAATAATTAACGATATCCCTAGCCCCGGGACCCACAGCTCTATCGATGTCATCCGGAATGTAAACTGTGATTTTGCTACCACACTGAGTTTTCATATCCACGTGTATGGATCTATATTTTCCCCTGCCTTTCTTAGTATTGCTGAAAGAAACTGCGAAGCAAGAAATATAGGACAATTAGAAAACTTTACAGCAAGAGATATATTATACAGATTACAAAAGAAAAACAGAAACCAGCTGATACTGATTTAAAAAATTGAAGTTTTTTCTGTCTAAGCTAAACTAAATGATACTGTTTTCCCCACCGCAGCAGCCTGCATCTAGAACTGGTTATAAGCCAATAGCTTTACCAGCTGAGAAAGGGAAAACATATATGAACACCTTTCAGAACAATTCCAAAGCAATCCAACAGGGATATGGCTGGCAAGAATTATAGGAGATCTTGAGGGTACTTTCCAGAGATGGTGGTTCGTGTAAGCTGTGGTGATATAATTTAATAGATAAAGTATCAACAGTTTCAGCAAAATGACTCAAAAATACAGTTCCTCCTATCATGGTTGTCCCTGCTATTGAACTGATATGTAGCTCATTCTGTTGACAACAAATACCAAGAAAAAACTTGCTTATTACAGAAAAATAAGTTTTATGCCAGCACACCACATGAGTAGATTACAGCATCAAGAAGCACAATTTGAGAGAAGATACTGCTAACTTCTTAGTCATTATGTGACTGCTAAGTTTAAAGCTAATATATAGATGGACAACCTGAGAAGGAACAAATTTTATTTGATGGCTATTTGGCAAAGATTAAGATACCTTAATTTTTTGCAATAATTTCAAATAGGTATTTCAGTAGTTCAATTAGCCAGGCTTCTGTTACCACCCAACTGATAGTCTGATATAGCTAACATGTCTATCTTTTTGTAACTACCAATATTATTGCACTCAAATTTTGGTAGTTAGCTCCTTGGTTTTGCCCAGCAGCAATAGTCAATTTCTCTACATAAATTTTGGATGCGGTAGTTTGGCAGAATCCCGATGTGTTTAGTGCATTGCCATAACAGATATTCAATGGTTGTTTCATGCCAGAACAGCCATGCCAATTATAGAGGCCATGCAAGATGATGATGAAGAAAACTTATACATAAGAAGCTAGATCTGAAGTCCATGGAACACTTACATAGGTACAGTTTAAGTAAATAGGATTAAGAGTGTAATAATCTCTGTACATTAATATTTATTACATTATACAGCCTTGAAGATTTTCATTGAAAAGAAAAGAAAGAAGACATCATCATCTCATTAAAACAGATTATTAGAAACTGAACAACAGTAGAAATACATAATACACCCTAGAAAATAGGACAGTGGCGTCGAGCCAACAATAGAATACTAGAATCCAGCTACAGAAATCAGTTTCTAAAAAACAAAATGAACAAAATAGATTAAAAATTGTAAAAGTAATTTTATAAAGCAAATAAGGTAAGAGGGAAAGAGACCACTTGTAAGTATTGAAATGCAAAAACTAACCTGCACCGCTATTTAAATTTTCTGAAGAAGGATGTACACTCCCTTCCAGATTCCTTGAGAATTCTGACCCTGAAGACGGTCCTTGACTTGTTTCAGGGCTCCTCAATTCTAGAGAAGTTCGCTGACTTGCTTCAGGAATCCCTATTGGTTGTGCCTGTGGTTGAGATGCTTGATCAATCGTAGGTCCCTGTGGTAGATTAATATTCACGGATGACACCACCACAAAATTATCACGTATTCCTTCAACATTACCACGTCCACGGCTCTTTCTACCTCGCCGACCGCTACCTCGTGCAAATCCTATCATTTCCTGCAACATCGCATAAATGTATAAATAAAGATTCAAATTTTGGGAAATATAAAATAATGAGATGTGGAGCCCAAGGACACTTGATGTGCCTTATACTAAGAACCCAATAATCAGACATCAAAAACAGTAAGGCCAAAAAACAATGAAAAGCAAAGGTTAAGTCCATCAGAATTTTCATAGCACTAAAATACTTGCTTCAGGAATCCCTATTGGTTGTGCTTGTGGCTGAGATGCTTGATCAAGCGTAGGTCTCTGTGATGGATTAATATCTACGGATGACACCACTGCAAAATTATCACTTATTCCTTCAACATTACCACATCCAGGGCCCTTATACCTCGGGCATATCCTGTCATTTCCTACAACACCGCATAAAAGGAAAAAATAAACATTCAAATTGTGGATATACTATAGAAACCATAAAAATACAAATTAATGAGATGTGGAGCCCTAGAATGCTTGAAGTGTACACTAAGAACCCAATAATCAGACAGCGAACACAATAAGGCCAAAAAAATTGGAAAGCAAAAGTGAAGTACATCAAAATATTCATAGCAGAAAAAGTTAACTACAAGAAATTGAAAGCGGAAAAGTATTTTTTGGAAATTGAAAGCGGAAAAGTATTTGCACTGAGGCAAAAGTCCTTCCAAGAGATTCCAGCAAATTGTTCACTCAGGCTCAAGTTTCTCCGTTATTTGGCTGAACTTCTTTGAGAATCTCTAAAGCCTTTGTAAAGGAGACAGTTGAATGAGACACGTTAGACAAAAGAGTAAACAAAATTGAGACATAATATCTATTTCTGAAAATCTTCTTCAGAGTATGGACTTGGTGTTAATAGGTTAATGCTTCTTACTGAAATTGTTTGCTGGTTCTCTGTTATTATCCTACTTTAACTAACTTATATTATCACTCTTCAAACTGCAACAAGATTAATTTTTGTTCAATTAATAACAATCTTCAAATGATCTTTTGGAGATCAAATGAACACAAATTCGAGGTCCCGTTGTAGTCATCTGATCACTGAGCTCTTCCTTGGTCCCATCCTTCTTCTTTTGCAAGTCATCTCTATAAGCCTTCACTCATATTATAAGTCCCAAAACTTCCTTGTTTTATTGTTTTTTGTATTTCATCAGTTTAAAAATATTCTCATTGTTTAATTAAAAGTTCACTATTGAGAATTTGAGATCAAATAATAGCCCTCCAAATGAGGGTTAGGATTTCCGAAGCAACCAACCCTCAGCGGGTTTGGCACTAAAATAACAGAGCTAAGCTGGATTTATAGCTCGAGAAGCCCAATTCGAAATAAGTATCGGAAGAAACTGTTTAAAAAATTTACATAAAGTAGGGAAGAATATAACCTATAATAAGAGGAAATTAGATAAATGAAAAAGCTAACTTCTTCAATACTTGGCTGTATTTGATGCTTAAGAGTTAAGACTCACCTTTTATGCCCAGAGAATTGAAAGAAAGCAATCTTCGAAGTCTAATTTGGGGGTTTTGGCTTTGAGAAGCCTTCGTTGGAGTCTGTGGTGACGACGAGCTGTTTATGGGAATTGGGGGCTTTTTTTTGGTTTATTTCATTTCTTCTTCTGTAAGAAAACGAAAAAGCATAGCAATTGGTGGCGACCTAGTCACCTTAAATAGGTTACGTGGCGATTAAAAGGTCGTTCGTAAAAGTTTTTCGCTCAATTTTCTTTTTGACTCTTCGCGGGAAGGGGGAACTTTTAAGTTTTAAGTTTTAGATGTGGCAACCGTTTTTAAGCTGCCATTGATTAAGTTTGACGAAATAAAATGCTCGCCCTAAAAGTATTCTTTTATTTCAATTTGCATGGCGTAGTATAATTGAGTATGTAGCTTAAAAAGAACACTTAGAACTTATAAATGATTTTCTGAAATTACTAACACATTGTGTCAAGGTTCAAACGAGAAATTTAAAATTAAATAATTTTTAAATATATAATAATTATTTTGAAAAAATCTCATAACTTTAAAAAGAGTGACCAACCTCATACTACCTAGAGTTCAATTTTGTAGCTTAAATGATCGTGTATGGCTCGGTTATTCCAACTGATTACTTTGATTATGTTTAAGCTTGAATACTATCGGAGACATCCTGTAAAAGTGGGAAAAGGAGGGAAAACAAGGTCTAATGTGCACGCTCCAGCAATATAGCGGCTATGGGGTGCGCACGTGCACACAAGACGGACCAAGTAAGCTTTCAGATTTATGCTTTCTTTTAAGCTTTCCTTATTTATGTTTCGAGTTGCACTATTCAAATGTCGCTTCATTTAAATTTATTCTAGTGTAATAATGTTATAAAAGCTTAGCTATTTTGAATAAATAAGTACAGGTAGATTTCATCATAGTTTTAGGATCCAAAATTTGTTTCTCTTCGTCCTTTGACATAATTGTGATTAATACTTGTTATCTTGTAAAGAGGTAGTTATAAAAAAAATTAAATAAGAATCTAAAAGGATCAAACAAAAAAGGCATTGTAAGAAAGAACACAAAAAAACGCTACTATTGTTGTGAATAATTTTAGATAGTGGATGCCCATGTTGCTAGGGAGACCCATTTCCTTTGATGGAGTGCAAGATCACTTATTAGGTTTATAAATAGCCTTGTATTCTGATGGAAAAATTGTACACAGGAGTGAAAAAAAGAAAAGAATTTTATTATCTCTTATATAATTTCTATTCTTGTTACTTTACTTTGCTACATTACTTTTATTTTATAACACGTTTCAACACAAAACTCTAATTTTATCTTTATCTTTGCTAAGTTGAGTCATATTTTACTAAGGTATGTGTTATTATATTCATTTTGTTTATGACAGTACATATCATATGATTACTTATGCTCTTGGACATCTTAAATAATTTAAGTACACTGCAATGATAAAATAACTATTAGATGACCTCAAAGTCATTAAACTAGCTACCCACTAATGAAACTACTTATAATATTTATGGACTTCTTGAATCAAAAAAACAGTAATTAGGAAAGTTAAAGAGAACTGTAACCGTACAATATGCAAGAAATTCTATAATTATTGAATTGGAATATATAAATAATATTAGTAACGTTCAAATATATTAACACATACTATATAGTAGCTTGTTTACATGATATATCTGTATTTCTGTTTCTTTTTCCCTTGATTGTTTTGTTTCATTAATTATTTATTAACATAATTATATATTTCTCTAACTTATTCATCTTTTATGATAGTTTTCACTATGTCAAATTTACCAAAGCTTGAATTTGTGGTACTTGACATCTCCGAAAAGAATAATTTATCATGGGTCCTTGATGCTGAAATTCATATTGCTGCAAAAGCTTTTGAAAATACTATTATATAAGGAAATGAAACATCATGTCAGGATAAAGCAAAGGCTATGATTTTCCTTCGTCATCATCTCGATGAAGGGTTAAAGACTGAATACTTAACTCTAAGAGATCCATTTGAATTATAGAGTAGTTTGAAGGAACGATATGACTATCTTAAGGCAACGGTATTGCCAAGAGCTCGATACGAATGGATTCACTTACGGTTACAAGATTTTAAAATTGTAAGTGAATATAATTCTAATGTATTCAAGATAACTTCCCAACTTAAATTATGTGGGAAAATTGTGAATGATGAGGATTTACTAAAAAGACTCGTTCTACTTTTTATGCCTCAAATATGGTATTGCAGCAACAATACCGTAAAAAGGGTTTAAATAAATATTCTGATTAATCTCATATCTCCTGGTGGCTGAGCAACATAACATTCTTTTAATGAAAAATCATGAAGCACGTCCAACTGGATCTGCACCATTTTCCGAAGTGAATATGGTAGCAGCTACTCAAAAGTTTGAAAGAAGACAAAATTATTATCGCGGTCGTGGTCGTGGCCATATTCGTGGACGTGGACATGGAAAGGGACGAAATAATTATCGTCATCATAGTGAAAATAAACAAGAGAACAATAAGGATCCTCAAAATAATCCTTTAAAATGCAGAGTTAATATTTGGCACATGTGTGGTATAAAAGGTCATTGGGCACGTGTTTGTCATACACCTGACCATTTTGTCAAACTTTATCAAGCATCCAATAAAAGAAAAGCTAACAATGCGGAGGCACACTTGACTTTTCAAAATAATGATGATAAATCAGTTCCCTCAAACAAATATGATGATGCTGAGGCAAATCTTTCATATAAAAATGATGATTTTGAAGTACAAATATTACTCATTTAGAAGTTGGAGACCTCTTTGAGGATATTGACTAAAGAAGTGATTATCTTACTGGGGAATAAAGCTTTAAGAAAAGTTATTATTTTCATATTATGTCTTTATGTAGTTTGTTCTTCTTAGTGTACTTTCCTAAAGCATCATATATGCTAGTTTCTACATTCCTTGTGTAATTTCTAATGTTTCTTTTATTTATAGTCTTTCGTATTTCTTATGATGTACTTTTTGTTTATTTATGAAGAATATGAAAAATTTTCAGTCTTCAGTTAGATCCAAGATCAATAAAGATGATATATGTCTTTTGGATAGTACTACAACATATACTATTTTAAGAGATACGAGATATTTCTCTTATTTGGTGATGAAAGAAGCCAATGTTAATCAATATCTGGCAGTACAAAGTTAACTGAAGGCTCAGGAAGAGCAAATTTATTACTACCCGGAGGAACAAATTTGGCGATTAATGAAGCATTATATTGTAGTAAGTCTCAAAGAAACTTACTAAGTTTCAAAGATATTCGCCAAAATGGATATCACATTGAGACTACAAATAATGAAAAGAGTGAATATCTTTATATTACTACAATAAAGTCGAGTAAGAAATTTGTGCTTGAAATATTACCCGATCTTTCCTCCGGCTTATATTACACAAGTATTAGCAGGATTGAAACACATGCCCTAGTAAATGAGAAGTTTACTAATCAAGATAATTTTATTATTTAGCATGAGCGGTTGGGTCATCCTGGTTCTACTATGATGCGTAAAATAATTGAGAATTTACATGGACATTCAATGAAGTACCAAAAGATTCTTCAATTTAAGGAATTCTCTTGTGCTGCATGTTCTCAAGATAAATTAATTATTAGACCATAAACTATTAAAGTTAGGATGGAATCTCCTACATTTTTAGAACGTATACAAGGTGATATATGTGGGTACATTCACCCTCCGTATGCTTGTTATCAACTCGCAATATGCATTTGCGAGATTGTTGGCTCAAATAATAAAACTAAGAGCACAATTTCCAGATTATACAATTAAGATAATTCGTCTTGATAATACTAGTGAGTTTACATCTCAGGCCTTTACTGATTATTGTATATCAACTGGGATAACAATTGAGCATCTGGTTGCTCATGTTCATACACAAAATGGTATAGAGGAATCGTTGATCAAAGGGCTCCAATTAATTGCTAGACCAATGCTTATGAGAACAAAACTCCCCGTTTCAGTATGGGATCATGTTATTTTGCATGCAGCAGCACTTGTGAGGATAAGGCCCACAAGTTATCATAAAGTCTCCCCATTGCAGTTGGCTTTTGGTCAGGAGCCAAATATTTCTCATCTTAGAATCTTTGACTGTGTGGTATATGTTCCAATTGCGCTCTACCATAACGCAAAAAGATGATTCCCCAAAGAAGGTTGGAGATATATGTTGGGTATGAATCTCCTTCTATTATAAAATATCTGAAGCCTATGACTGAAGATTTATTTACGGCAAGATTTTCTGATTGTCATTTTGATGAATCAGTATAACCTACATTAGGAGGAGAAAATAAGCAGCTAAGAAAGGAGATAGATTGGAATGTATTATCACTATCTCATTTAGATCCTCGAACAAATCAATGTGAACAAGAGGTTCAAAAAATAATTCATTTGTAAAATATTACAAATTAACTGCCAGATGTATTCACTGACCTACCAAGGGTGACTAAGTCACATATTCCAGCTGCTAATGCTCAAATTCGATTTGATATCCCGGTAGGACAATCAATTAAAGCAGATGAGTTTAAACCACTTTTGAAACGTGGTAGACCAATCGGTTCTAAGGATAAAAATTCCCGAAAAAGAAAAGGAGCAAATGATCAAAGTGATCATAATACATAGGTAGTGACTCAAGAAAATCACAAAGACATAACAAATGATAAGACCTCAAGGGAGGTTCGGGTACCTGAAAATGATGAGAATGGAGATCTCAATAAGTTATGTCTCAACGGAAAAAAGATGGAACCGAAATAATATTGTTATCGATAACGTTTTTTCTTATAATGTTGATGTTGAAATAATGCAACAAGATGAGGATCTTGAACCAAAATCTGTCGATGAATATTGACAGAAAAATGATTGGCCAAAATGGAAAGACGCTATCCAGGCAGAATTAACTTCACTTGCGAAACGTGAAGTTTTTGGGTCTGTAGTCCAAACACCTAATGGTGTTAAGCCTGTTGGCTATAAATGGGTCTTTACACATAAAAGAAATGAGAAAAATGAGGTACAAATATATAAGGCACGCCTTATTGCACAAGTATTTTCACAAAGGCCTGGTATCGATTATGAAAAGACATATTCTACTGTTATGGATGTTATAATGTTATGTTATCTCATTAGTTTTGATGTCCATGAAAAGCTTGACATGCTTTTAATGGATGTGGTTACATCCTACCTTTACGGCTCACTTGATAATGAGAAATACATGAAAATTTCCGAGGGATTTAAAATGCCTGACATACATAATTCAAAGTCCCGGGAAATGTTTTCAATCAAATTGCAGAAATTTTTGTATAGTCTAAAGCAATCAGGAAGAATGTCCTTAATGAGTATTTATTAAAGGAGGGTTATATAAATGATGCCATTTGTCCATATGTTTTTATAAAGAAAACAACATCAGAGATTGTTGTACTTGTTATATATGTTGATGACATAAACCTTGTTGGAACTCCTATAGAACTCTAAAAGGCAATTGATTATTTAAAGAAGGAATTCGAGATGAAAGATCTCGGAAAGACAAAACTATGTCTTGGTTTACAAATTGAACATTTGGCAAATAGGACATTTGTTCATCAATCTGCCTACATAGAAAAGGTATTGAAACGATTTTACATGGATGGAGCACATCCATTAAGTACTCCGATGATTGTTCGATCACTCGATGTGAATAAGGACCAATTCCTACATCAAGAAAAGAATGAAGAGATTCTTTGAAAACTTTACAAACATAAAAGGGAAGCCAAAAGAAACGAACTCAAAAATTGCCAAAGGGAAAAGAAAAGCCTTATATACATTGCAATAAAAGTCTTTTACAAATGCCAACGATAACGGCCTCAACAAAATGAACAAAATACAAAAACAAAGAAAATACCTAAGGTAACTAGGCCTGATCTTCACCGGAACCCACCTCGTCACCAGAGCCGTCGGGGTCTTCTCCATCCTCGGGTTCATCGGATCCCTCAGAGCCTTCCTCACCCTCGGGGTTAGCTAGCTTCTTGGCCTCGGCCTCGAGCCTTTTCGCATCTTTGATCTCGACTGACAGGTCGAAATCCTGAGCATAGACCTCCTCGAGGGCCTCCTTTTGGTACAACTACTTCACATACTTGACAGTAACTTTCAGGCAGTCCTAGGCTGCCTCAGCATCAACCCTGTACTAGGCCACCATCTTTGCAGCATAGGCCCTGGTTATTTCTGACGCAAACTTCGTTGTTTCAAGCTCCTTACCGAGGGCATCCCGTTCAGCAATGGTCTAGCCCAGCTGAGACTGGAGATCTTCGATTCGTTGATCCCGTGCTTCGGCATTTTCTCTCACCACTCGGAGTTGGACCTCCACCGATGCCCGCTGCTCCCGGGCAGTCTCCTTATCCGAAGCCAATCGGTCCATTTTTCCTTTCCACCCTTCGACCATGGCCTTGACCTCGTCTATCTTGGCTTAGAGTTGGTCGATCATGTCAACCTTCTGTTGAACCTGCAGGGTTTGGCCGTTAGTCTCCATGTCTAACTCATCATCACTAACTTCGAAAATCTTTACATGTTCCACTAAGTTGGCATGCTCCTTCTGAGTCGCATCCAACTCAGCCAGGAGTCTCTTAGCCTCTTCTTCACGTTGCTCGCTGAGAAGCTTATACATGTCCCTCTTCTCACTAATCTCCTTGACCTCAGTCTCGAGCTAGTTGACCTCAGCCCGGTACCGGAGGAAAACTTTCGTGATAAAGTACCGAAGCCTTCAAAAATATAAAGGAAAAAAGAAAAGGCACGAGAGATATCAAAAATTAAACCCGAAGATGAAAGAGTGTAATGACACCTTACCCGGTTCAGCACCTACTGTGCTTCGTCAAACAAGCACGGCGTATCCACCTCATTCATTTTTGCCTGGTCTTCTTCGATCACCAGGCACCGGAGGTAGCTAGCTACTCCAACGGGGGAGAAAGAACCTGGGCATCCTCCGGGACGGTGATGATTATTGACCGCTATTGGCCTAAATCCATGCTCGAGGTGGGGAACCGGATGATTAATTTTGTGCTCGAGTTTAGCCTGCCAACCTCTGAATATGGGTCTTTCCTCGGCACCTCCAAATCACCCGACCCGGAGAAGTCTTCTAGGACGGTTGAGTCCACACCTTCAATAAAGGAATTGAGGGGATCGTCCACACCATGAGCCCCTTCGTTGGACCGCTCCTTTGTTGATCGAGCCTTTTTGAGCATACACTCGGTATAAGAAAGCGACCCTAAAATATATATCACATCGAGTGTCTCCTTTGAGGCATGGCCGACATCCTGGGAAGTCTCGGCTCCGATCTCCTCATCGACTTCCTTAATCTGAGGGAGGTCGGCCTCATGAATCCCTCGTTCAATAACCACCCGCTCTACGGGACACAAGAATATCATCCACTTCGGGCTCATCCCTGAGCCGATAAATTAAGCCCGAGTCGGATGCTCGAGAGCCAGAACTCTCATTTGGCTTGCGGGCCAATCTTGGTTTCTTTTTCTCCGAGCTCGGGGAACTCGGAGCCTTTCTTTTTTTCTTCTCTCATGCAGCAGCCCCGGGCTGTCACGAGGCAGAGAGATCAATGCATAAGTCCTCATCCCCTACTGAAGGCCTAAGCTCAATGGTCTTAGGCAAGCATGCGAAAAGAACAGAAAGAAAATGAGAATGTGATGCTAAAAGGGGAGCCTAATGTAACTTATCCGGGAAAAAGATCTTACCATGAGAACGAGCCTCCTAACGGCCCTTCGAGAGCTCGCACCATGAGCGCTCAGAATAAGGTATCTGCGAGCAATTGCCCTCGATCCATTCCTTGAGCCGAGGAATGGCGTTTGGGACCCGAGCAAGGGCTGCACCGCAATAAATACTAATGAGAAAATAAAAAATAAAACATAAAATTGACATTTAAAAGAAAGATATACTTGCGTGATACATTCCAATTCTCGGGGAATGGCCTGAACTCGGCAGGTATCAAGTCTGCGGTTCTCACCCAGACAAAGCGTCCCCGCCAGCCCCAATCCCGGTCCTCGTCCATACTTGAAAATGGGGATTTGCTGGCCCAGTGTACGAGCTTTATCAGTCCCACTTAGAAGATTCGGGGACTGTACATGCAGAGTAGATGATCGATGGTGAACAAGCAAGAGTCGATTTTATTCACAAAGGATCGGAGGCGGATTACGATCCTCCACAGCGATGGGTGGATCTGACCGAGGCACACTTCATACCTCCTACAGAAGTCCAGAATAACCGAGCCCACCGGGCCTAGTATGAAAGGGTAAGTGTAAACAATCATATACCTCTCCACATGGGTAGTAATGTCATCATCGGGCCCGTGGATTACTATGTCCTTATCCGCCCAGCCACAGTCCTTACGAACCGCAGGAAGAACGGCCTCGATGATGGAGAAAATGTACCTAGACACCACCTCGCATCGGCCTTGCACCGATGAGGGTTTTTCGACCTTAAAGTCGTCCGCGACCGAACACTCCACCGGGGATGAATATTTTAAAGGGAGGCTCGGCTTCCGGTTCATCGGTAGCCATGCCCGGAGTGGACCTCTCAAGGTCAATCATATCGGGAGCGGTCTCCTCGACTTCGGTGGTCGGCCCTGAAGTAGCAAATTTTTGGGGAACAGTCTTAGAAGTCTTTGCCATTGTTATCTAAAAAAGAGTTAGGAGAAGTGAGAAGGAAGATTAGGAGATGAAGGGTAAAAGCTTTCCGAGAAAATCAAATGCGTTGGTTTGGGTAAAAGATTAATGAAAACCAGTGATTTGCTGAAAACTCTTGAAGAACGAAGGTAAAAAAAGTTGGGGTATGAAGAAAGGCAGTAATATCTTGAAGGTACGAAGGTAGAAGCTTGGTAAAAAGTAAAAAATGAACAAAGGAGGGGAGTATTTATAGAGGCTTTGCGTCGTTTCGTGTTCAGGGACGGTCTATCGAGGGCCGACACACGTTTGAGGTCATTATGACGCGACTGACGGGACGTTTCGGGTTCTGTCATTTCTGTCACGGCGTATTGAAGTAGGAATCGAGGTTCTCATGTCATTTCTCATCGTTTCCGTAAACCCACTCTCCGAGAAATGAAAGGACTATCTGTATACGGGTGAAACCGAGTCCGTGGGACGCCTCGGTTTCCAATGAAGTGAATGGAGCAAGGAACGTAAAGGCAAGGGACCGAAATCGAGGCAAGAAGCCCCTTGGTCCGGGGTCAGGGCAGAACACCTGCCCTTGGAAGTATTGGGGCCATGACCCCCAGGTCCAGTTCAAACCCCAAAAGCCTCGGAGAGCATTACCAGACAATCGAGCACAACTAACAAAAGGCCATGATATCCGCGACCGGCCGGATATCACGGCGTAGATCTCGGCAGAGAACCGGTGATTTGTTAAATGAAAGATTTTTACCTTTTATTGAATTGTACTTAGGGAAAAACTCCTCTACTATATAAAGGGGGGCTGGTTATTCATTAAGGATACTGTAACACACATATCAAGGCAATATACTATTATTTTCTATGTTATTCAAAGTTCTTACTCTTGTTCATCAGTGCTTCGTTATTGTGAGTCCGGGATCAAGGGCAAACATCTCATTAAGGGTGTTATTGAATCCTAAATCACCCCCTTAAGTGGTTTGACAATCTATTATGCCCTTTATATGTTTAATCTAACGTAATTTTTCGTTTGTATTGAATTAATCCACGTATGATTAAAACTACTTACAAATTTAATTGTTATCCATTTTTTTAGGTAAACAATAAGACTGATTAAGCATAATTGCTTTGGTAGGAGAATTGCTGTTCGTGCGATATATTAAAATGAGAATATTAATATATACATCATCTCAAATCCATCTTATTAGCAATAAATATCTTAATCCAGCTAACTTACCAGTACATATTTATCCATTTCCGAGCTCTAATCTGCTTTAACACCAACCACGAGAAAAATGAAAAAACACTCAACAAGGTTCAATGAATTAAAGACAAAATTAATCACAAATGTGTCAATCAAACAAATGACATCAAAAGGCAGCTCTCGATTAATATTGGATTTCTTCAAAGGCATACATTTTCTCTTAAATTTGCACTTCGGGAAAAGAAACTTCAAAAAGTTTCTCAAATTTCTGAAACTTGAATTTCTTGAGTAGACACACAATCCATATGGGTAGCAAATTTACAAGCCAAACAATAATAAAACCAACAACGCTTCCCAACACCTCTTTGACAAACATAACACATCAAATCCACGTCCTTATCCTTCCCAAAAAAAACATTACTATAACACAACGTAAGAGGATGTTGATGATCTTTCCTCTCTTCAATCTCCGGCAACGAAGCACATTCAACATGAAGATCAAACTTACATTTCTCACAATGAAACGTAAAAGCATGACCCGAATTCCCACAAGCATCGCACGTGAATTCTCCGTCGTCATAAGGAGGAAAGAAGAGGAGGGTTAAAGTGTGTTTTGGGTGAGATTTGTGCTTAATTTGCCTAGGCAACTCGAAACAAGAATCGTGGAGGATGAAGTTGCAGTTCATTTTGGTGCACGCGTAGGCGGAGCCACCGGAGAGATCGTGCTCGCAGCCGGAGCAGATGACTTGATCTTCTTCTTCTACATCGGAGATCTTTAATGGGTGGCGATGGCTGAAATGGCTATAGTATTGTTCCATTGGTGTCATCTCCATTGTTGTAAGTTGTAACCTATCTTAGCTTTCTTGTTGTGTGATCTGATTTGCAAAGTCAAACCGTGTTGTATATTTATATTAAGGGAGAATTACACTTTTTGTCCCTTGATTGTTGAAGAGTTCCAAGTTTGGTCCTTGTGATTGGAGTAAATACTACATATAACCTTAGATTAATATAGTATTATAGTTGGAGGAGGAGGAAGACTGAGAAAGATATTGTCATGTGTTTTATTTCTATAATAAAATTACAAGTAATTGCTTTAAATATTTTTTTACAATATTTTTGTCTTTAAATTTGAATTAAAAATTAGATCATAATTCTATAATAAATTTACAAGGCATTGCCTTAGATATTTTTTTAATATCTTTTTGTCTCTAATTTATATTTAATTTTAAAAAAAAATCACAACTTAGCCACTTAGCCCACTCAGCCAGCGGGGTCGGCTTGTTTAGCTCGTGACTATGAGTTCGTGAGCCCGATCACGAACCGATTCCTATAAAAAAACCGTTTAACCCGAGACCGCTAAGCCTTTTTATTTAATACCCGAGACCGCGGCCCACGAGACCCGTTTAGGACCCGGATCGGCCAACTTGACACCCAAATGTTGGACTGCGCTTTTGGTCTTTTCAGTAACAAATGTATGTAAATTTAATTTATTTTTTAAATGTAAAATCATGTGAATGTTCGTCTTTAATGTTAAAAGGAAGTAATGCTGATATAGTTTCATTTACTCTATTAATTGAAGATTAAATATATTTAGTGAGATAGTACAAGGATCAAACTAGAATATGCCAATAATTTAGGGAACAAAATTATAATATTTTATTTTATTAGCCTTTAGTTAAATACTTTTTTTTTAACCCCAATTAAGTTAAATTCTTTTTCATCTGTTCCCTTTTCACAACGATCAGGCATAGATGGGACCCAACTCCTTGTGCACTAATGTGACACTAACAATTTTGTTGATCAAGTCAACCTTATGCCTTTACGTCATAGCGAAACATTCTTCAAGTTTGAGACGTTAACCTTATTAAATTCCTTATTGCTTATGCACGAAAAATATTTAAATTAAGTTTGTATGTCGATTCAATTTGTCTTCTTTTGGCTACGGAAATTGAAAGCTAAGTTTTTTCCAAAAAAATAAAAATAAAAATTGATATATTACTCTTCCAATTTTGATTCAGTTTTGCTTCTCAAGATCTACAAGATGATCTTTAAATAATATTTCAAAAAAAAATTTGTCTGTCATTTATCGGACCAACGACTTGTAAGTCATTCACATAGTTGTTTATATATCTAATTTATTGAGAAAATGATGCAAATACTCGAAGCAAGTAAGTTTTTACAGAAAAAGAGTTAGTGGAAGAAGAATAACAGAATATGACCGCGAGAACCTCAATCACAACCTAATAAAATAATGAATCAAGTTATTTTTATAAAAAAAAAAAGGAAAGAAAAAAAGATAGTGGTTAGATGTAATCCTATTGAAGCAAAAAAGGAATGTGATTCAACTAGTTTGGTTGGAGCTGACCAACTATTATATTATTTCTTTTTTGTTTTCAACTAGACTGGATGTGTCATGTTTATGAGAGTTTAATGGTGTAGTAGCATTTATTGATTCCGACTTCCCTGTATATTTTTGCATTCAAAGCGGTAAAGTTCTTCATTATATTATCTCACGGGAAAGAGGTCATTTAAATCGAACATATTCTTCATTATATGTCAATGAACCTATTGACAACTTCTATCCTCTCAAAACTACTTTTAGCAAATAGCAAAAGTTCTAGTAATTACTTTTTCTGGCAAAGTATTTATAGGGATCGAAAGCAAGAGAAAAGTAGTCCTTGGAATTATTGTTAGCAAAACATGCTACTCAAAAACGTTTAGAGAGGTGAAAACTCTTTGTGATAGGCAGAAATAAATTAAATAACAACATATTCCTTGGTTATACAGTTAAATTTCTCTATAACAACATCTATATATAACCGTCATTGACTCATTCACTATAAAAGTCAAGTTTTTCTCCTAACCGATTTTTTAAGTTGTAGTTTACCTCTCTATAACATCTTTTTACCTATAACAACAACAGTCATATTTATAACAGAATGTTCTTTGTAAAATTACCTATTTATAACAGCCATATAGAATCTTTAAGATTACTAATAATAATTCTAAAAATGTGCATACAATCATTTTCATTAAATAAAGTTTTTATCTTGCATAAGATATAAGATTTGAAAATTTGCAAATGATATCTTTTCCATTGGACAAATTTCAAAAGATATTTATATAGAAAATTTAATTGTTAAGCTCTTAGATTGTCTTCAAGGAAAAACTATTGGATGCCTTTTTGCTGAAAATTTGGACACGAACTTTCACCTATTCAAGCGTTATATCACTAATAAGAGGATGAAATATACTAAACAAGCTACAATTACAAAGTTTTTCCATCAATCTTGAAAGAATATATTTTTCTAGGTAGCTTTAAAATATTTGCCTTAGAGTTAAATCTTTATTTAGTTATGAATTTATTAATACTGTATTAGCTTTCTTCAATATTTAACTAGTAAAATATGCATATCTTTTGAGATTTTAAATTTGAATAATCTTTTTATCTTTTATATGTAACATTAAAAGGGAAAAATAATCGATTTTTGGATAATTTTTATCTATAACAGCCAAAAAAATTTAAACGTCAAATGTTGTTATTGGTGTTTAACAGTCATTCATTATAAAAATTAAAAGATCTTGGAACAAACGATGTTGCTATATAGAGGGTTGACCGTAGCAAATTCGCACTTAGCCTTGACTTTGAATATTCAACATGACAGGTCATGGATGCAAGAGTGTTGTTTAAGCCTCTAAAAACAAAAGAATTATATTTAGTAATCTATTAAAAGAAAAAGATTCTGTAGATCCGATAGCTTGGTACTTGTAACGAATTTGCACAATAAAAAATTATGAAGAAATAAATAAAAACAAGGCCGCGCCATAAAATCCTGAAAATTATCGATTGTAGACGCAGATGTGGTCAACTACTTGTTAAGGACTACATTGGAGCTCCTAAAGATTTTCTTTTCCAGCTAAAAAATAAAATAGAAGATTAGTTGGTTAAGATTAATTGATTGTTTCAATTATGGAAAGTCAACCCCTTGAATGTACATTTCTGGACTAGCTCTATACGAATTCGACGGTAAGAAGCTAGACGTCAAACTTCTCCGGAGAACATATATATCCCCAAGAAATTCTCAAATTACATTATAAAATAAAATAATAAGTAAGAGGTTTAGAATCTCATAAGGGATATTTTGTTCATATAATACATAAATTATAATGCGAGAAATGTCATACAGAAATTAAAAACACCTGTTTAGCTAATATTGGTATAGCTGTCCCATTTTGCATGAAGTATCTAAATTGAAGTATAAATTAATATACCAATTAGTTATATCGAAAATGAAAATAACAACCAAGCCGAATACCTAAACACTAAATTTTGCACTGCAAGAATTTTTCAGTCATTCCTCCAACCAAACGACTTCTTAGCTCTGTCCAAACTTTAGCTTAAGTTTCAATAAGCAACAATGTCAACGTTCAAAAGGATATAGTGGGAGCAGAAATTGCGGACCATTTATGCACAATAGGTAGCTTCCAAATTGTCAATGTATCGTCGTGAAGACTTAACAGCACGATTGGCATACATTTGGTTACTTCCAAAGAGTTTGACATACTGATTTTTTAGAAGTTAGAGTTTCCCACGGAGGTAAATTGCTACAAATGTATCTTGCGTCTAGAATAACACCTGAGTATTTAACCAACAAGTGTTGTGTTGGAGTGATAAATACTCATTCATCTTTAATCAGAGATCTCAAGTTCGAGTCTTTGATATGGAATCGCCTTTGTTAGGGAATATTTTACCTCAAATGCGAGACTTTTCGGCACGAATTCGAATTTATTCGGACCCCAATGCAAGTATCGAATATTAAATGAGGAACCAAAAAAAAAAAACTAGACTCTCCTTAATTTTTATAACCCATGGATGATGTCGTTAAGGCTGGTTTAACATTTCCATAATAAGTTAACAAATAAAAATGGATCTTTTAGACAAATGCATGATTTTCTACTATTATCAGTTAAGCATCTCAATTAGATCTAACAGAGAGAGTCATATATATACTTATTTGACAGTATTAACCCATTATCTTTTAAATAACGGGCACCTTAAAAAGGACTAGCCTTTTTTGCAAGTCTTGAAAATGAAAGGTCTATATCACAGGCCGAATTTGAGGACTTTGAAGCATAGCAATCAAGTTTATTATGCAAAAACCTGTGTAGATGCAGCTTTCGATGCTTCAAGATGAAATTCTTTGCATTTTGTCCATTTCTGCACGGTGCTTTATGTGATCAAATTTCCTTTCTCTTTTATACACCAAGTGCTTAGTATTTACGAAAATTTGAGATTGCTTGTTTGGCCAAGCTTCTCTAATCCTAGAAACACATTTTTTCTTCTTCAAAAAAATACTTTTTTTTTTAAGTTGAAGTGTTTGGCCAAGCTTCTGGAAGAAAAAAAAGTGTTTTGAGGAGAAGCAGAAATAATTTGAAATAGCTTTTAGAAGCAGTTTTTAAAAGCTTTGCCAAATACTAATTACTGCTCAGAAGTGCCTTTCAAAATAATTAGTCAAACACAAACTGTTTTTCACCAAAAGTACTTTTAAAAAAAATACTTTTGAGAAATAAAATAAGCTGATTTTTGCAGAAACATGTTATATATCCTCTTAACCTTTGGTAGAGATTGCTGTGCGAATTTCTGAGATAGCTGATTGAAATCTTTAGGTCTCATGGAAATTGAATACCCATTCTAAAATGAAAAAAAAATTAGAAAAAAAGAACTAATTTATCAGTAATTCCGTCAATCCTAGTTTAAATTTCTAATATCTACATAGCACATCCCCTCATGAATTCACCTAGTGAATATTTTGACAATTTTCCTCCTAAAACGCGTTATATGGACCTTGACTTGGGTACCATACCAGCAAACAATTTCATTTAATATTCTTAATCTCCTCCACCACCCCAAATTCTGCCCCTTGCCTTTTCCTTATTTAGCGAACAAGTTGTGCACTAAACTGAAAATAAACTAATCATTTTGTTTTTAGATTCACGAAGGATTTAAGTTATATATATTCATTATTTTACTTGCCAAAATTGGTCAGTTCTATTAAATATCAAATACCTAAAGCTACACCTCCAAAATTTGAGAGAGAGATAGCTGGAGATGGGAAAGGTGAAGTTGGAATCTCAACAATCCAAGAACACAAAAAATCATTTCAGTCACCCTCACCCTTTAGAACTAATCACTAATCAAAACTTTGCTTCACCTTCTTCACAACTATGTTCAGGTTGCAAGATTCAAGCCAATGGATCAATCTACACATGCAAATCTTGCAATTTTTTCCTCCATACTGAATGTGCCCAAATGCCTCAGCAAACCACTCATCCATTTGACAAAGAACATCATTTCACTCTCCTCCCAAAACCCATTTACCCTGAAGGGAATTTCAACTGTGATGCATGTGGGGAAATAGGAGATGGCTTCTCTTACCACTGCAAAACTTGTGGCACTGACCTTCACATACTATGTGCTATTTTCCCACTATGTGTCACTCACTGGTCTCATCATCACCAGCTTGAGCTCAAGTTTTCACCTCCTTATCCTGATAAATCTTTCTGTTGTGATATTTGCAAGAATGTTGGAACCAATCACTGGCTTTATAGATGCCAAACTTGTGGTTTTGATGCTCATTTGAATTGTACAAAGTTACAAGATCCACCACATCAAAGTTATATCCATCAGAACCCAACTACAAGTAGGTCTGCTCCTCAGCAGCAACATTTTATAGGTAAAAACTTGTCTGCATCTGATGTCAATGTCAAACCTCAAGTCCTTCAATTCCAAATTTACATATATACTAATTTTGATATCTAAATATGATTTTGTATTGGTTTGTGTTGCACTTTAATCCGATGAGTTACACTCTTTAATCCATTTTAAACCAATAGTTTGGTATGTCATTTCGGGTTCAACCCATTGAATAAAGTCAAACTGACCGATCATAACCGAATCCATTTAAACTTACATGGACGAATTACTAACAAATAGGTTGGGTGTGGCCTTACCCGGACCCCGAATAAATACAAGACACCATACTTAGCCCTTTTTTTTTACTAACAAATAGGTTGAATTTTCCGTGTGTGCTTGCAGGGATAAATCATATGAATCAAGGGATTAACCATGGACCTGCTGTACCTCAATTATTCGGGCCTAGGCAGAACAATGAAATGTCACTCCAAGAAATACTTAGAAAGCAAGGTGAAGATCAACAGAAATTGATACAAGAAATGTTCACGGCAGCCACTGCTCGGCAGAATCAACTAATACAGCAGCACATGGCTGCTACTTCTCGGCAGAATCAAGACATAAACCAGCAAATCATGGCTGCTACTTCTCCGCAGAATCAAGACATATACCAACAAATCATGGCTGCTAGTGTTCGGCAGAATCAAGAAATAAACCAGCAACTGACGCAAGCACTTATGAATAATGCCTCTGCTGGTAAAGTTAATCCTATGCCAAATTTATACCAAAATATGATGGGTGGATTCAATAACGGAGGAGCTGTAAATGTCTTACAAGCATTATCAGGTGGTGGTGGAATTGGTGGCGGCAGTGGAGGAATGGAACTTCTGCAATCATTTGTGGGTGGCGGCAATGTTGGCATTGGTGGTTTGGATTTGATTGCATTATTTGGAAGCCTTAACTTCTGAAAATTCTCTCAGATAAAAAACAGTAAAAAGAATTAGACGTTATTTACAGCTAATAATAATGATCCCGTGATTAACCGGGATGTTTAGTACATTGACTTGAGTTTAAGAACTAGCATTATCACCATGCGACCAACTTACCTCCAACTATCAAATTGGTCAACCTGCCTAGTTTGGCATTTTAATTGTTCCAAGTTCCAACCATTCCTATTCCCTACTAATCAAAATTCCACTTTGAACTCTTATTCTGTCTCATTATCTGTTGACTTTCTGATTATTTTGATTCATTCAACACATTCGGCTGGTAATTACGACACGTATACTATTTTCTCCGGTTTATTTTAATTGATTTTTTTGGTTGTTTTGACACATATTAAGCAATTCACTTTTTAGTATTAATTAATAGTAAAATTGACCCTATTAACCTTAATTTGTTCATCGGAAATATAACAAATACTCATAGGCTCTTTACTCCATGGGCAACTTTAAAAAAAAAAAAAGTTACTTCTTTCTTGATATCTGAAAAAAATCAAATATTATGGACCATAAAAAAATGCCAAAAGATCAATTAAAGTGGACCGGAGGGAGTATATGAGAGTTGTCACGACCCAATTTTTCATATAGGCCGTGATGGCGCCCAACGTCGCCGCTAGGCAAGCCAACGGTGAACTAACCATGTGATTGCTCTTTTTAATAAGTTTTCAAGTAATTAAATTTTATTTATTAAGAAATTAAGGAGTAGAAAATTTAATAAATAAAACGAAGACAACTGAGTGACAATCACAGTGATATAAATACTCCAAAACCATAAAGTCTACTAGTATGTGTGCCAAGACCTAGTGTCACAAGTGTATGAACAACTAGTAGAATATACAAAACTCTAACTATTATATGAAATAAAAATAGATAGAAAATAAGTGCAAAAGAGAGACTCTAGGTGCTACAGAACGGCTCAGGAAGCAACTCACCACTAGGCCTCAAGGTAACGGGGGTGCGCGCCGGTATGACTGCCAGATGCACCTGCCTCAGATCATGCACGGTTAGTGCAGAAGTGTAGCGTGAGTACATAAACAACATTTAAGTATCTAGTCTAACCTCGAAGAAGTAGTGATGATGGGTCGACATCGACACTTACTATGGGCTAACAATAAAACTACAGAAATTCTAAATAAGCATGGGTTATGTAAATAATAATAACTCAATATTAAGCAGGAAATAAATAATTCTTTCACTAATGGTAAATTCCAAGTCAGTTTTTGTCATATATAATTTTAACCTCTCAAGCCATAAAATAATATCAAATATAATCAAGCTCCGAGTATTATCACACACGATTATGCCGAGGTCATACGGCCCGATCCAGAATAATGTGTACACTGCTGAGGGTTAAGCGGTATGAACCATAGATGCATCTATTCTACTGACGAGGCGTTCGGCCCGCTCCACAAGAAGAGAGGATACTTTATAAACATTCGGTTTAAAAGCTATTACATGGCTAATACACAAAAAAGCACAATTTTTATTAACGGTCAAGTATCTCGCCAAAACTCAAGTAAGTGGAAGTCGGTCTTTTACAATTCCTATATCAAGTTACAATATAATTTAGGCACTTTTAATTAACAAATAGGGTGCAAATATTACAAGTATTTTATGATTTGGGTCCTAAACTACCCGGACATAAGCATAATTAGTAGCTACGTACGGACTCTCGTCACCTCGCGCGTACGTAGCCCCCACAATTAGAAACAAAAAGTTATTTAAATCACTTATGGGGTAAATTCCCTCTTACAAGATTAGGCAAGAGACTTACCATGTCTCAAAGCTCGCTTCCGATCCAACAATATGCTTTAAATACTTAACTTGGTGCCAAACAACCCGGAACTAGTCAAATACTGTATAAATTAATCAATACATATTCAAAAGTTCATAATCTAACTATTAGAGTAATTTCCCAACCTCAATTGAAAGATTCCTAAAATTCATTCCTGGGTCCACGTGCCCGGATTTCGAAAATTTTCGAAGATAATTGTGACCCATAACCTTACGAACTCAAATATATAATTTTTATCCCGTTCCATAATCATTTTCGTAGTTAAATTCTATTTTTATAAAAATCTAGGTTTTTCATCTAAACCCAAAATTCTTACAATTTTACATGCTAAAATCTATCCATAATCTATGTATGTAACTTACATTGGGTAGGAATTACTTACCTTCAATAGTTAGGTGAAAATATCTCTCTAAGAAGCTCCAAAATCGCCCAAAGAAGTGAAATAAATGAACCAAAAATGGCCTAAGTCCCGCAATAAATGGACCTCACTGCCCAGCGACTTCCGCTTTTGCGGAGCAATGGCCGCATCTGCGGACATAGCCTCGCAGATGCGGTCCATGCCTAGGCCTGCCCTTCTCGCTTCTGCGGGCAAAGTCTCGTATCTGTGAGCTCGCTTCTGCGGCACGAGCGTCGCACCTGCGCACCAGCCCGCTTCTGCGATCTCTTCCTCACATCTGCGCCTTCACAGATGCGGCTCCTCTCCTCGCTTCTGTGATCACTGGGCAGCCCACGCTAGGCCGCTTCTGCGGCCGTTGGCTCGCTTCTGCGAGCTCGCACCTACGGCTGGTCCTCCACAGGTGCGATTGCACCAGAAACTCTGATGCTTCAGCTATTCTTTCCTAGTCCAAATGAGTTTCGTTCCTCGTCCGAATGGCATCCGGGGGCCCCGTGAACCCGCCTAAACATACCAACAAGTTTGAAATCATAAAACAGACCTGCTCGACCTCACGAAACATGAAAAAACACCAAAACTAAGAATCACACTCCAAGCCAAATCAAATCAGCTTATGAACTTCAAGTTCTTCCAATTTGCTCCGAACGCGCTGAACTATACTTAAACTACTGAGAATGACACCAAATTTTACATGCAAGTCTTAAATTACCTTACGGAGCTATTCCCAGGCTCGAAATCAGAAACGAACCTCGATAACACCAGAACCTACTCCAAACCAAATTTAAAGAACTTTTAAACCTTCAATAAGCCAACTTTCAACTTTAGGCATCGAAACGCTCCCGGGGTCATCCAAAACCCGATCAGAATATACGCCCAAGTCCAAAATCATCATACAAACCTATTGGGACTGTCAAATCCCGGTTCCGAGATTGATTACTAGAATTGTTGACCCAAGTCAAACTAAACTCTTTAAAGCCAATAACAAGGAACTAAATGTTCCGATTTCAACCCGGACTCCTCCAAACCCGAACTAACCATCTCCGCAAGTCATAAAATAGTAAAATCACATACTAGGAATCTTATTTAGGGGAACAAGGATCTAGAAAGTAAAACAACCGGTCGGGTCATTACATTCTCCACTTCTTAAACAAATATTTGTCCTCGAACGGGTCTATGATCATACCTGGAGTGCCGAATAAGTGTGGATATCTGCTCCACATGTCCTCCTCGGCCTCCCAAGTCGCCTTCTCGACTGGTTGTCCCCTCCACTAAACTTTTACAGTAGAAATATTCTTGGACCTCAGCTTGCAAACATGCCTGTCAACAATGGCAACTGGCTCCTCCTCATAACCCAGCCTCTCATCTAGCTGGACCGTGCTGAAGTCTAACACATGCGACATGTCGGCATGATACCTCCGGAGCATAGACACGTGAAAAACCGGATGAACTCTAGATAGATTGGGAGGCAAAGCAAGCTCATAAGCAACCTCCCTAACTCGTCTCAACACCTCAAATGGACCTATGAACCTTGGGCTCAACTTGCCCTTCTTTCCGAACCTCATGATTCCCTTCATCGGCGAGACTTTCAAGATAACCTTCTCGCCCACCATAAATGATAAATCACGCGCCTTCTGATCCGCGTAACTCTTTTGTCTGGACTATGTTGTGCAATGTCGCTCCTGAATCAACCTTACCTTTCCCAAGGCATCCTTCACTAAATCAATACCATATAACTTAGTCTCGTCGAGCACAAAACATCCGATGGGCGAACGACATCGCCGACCATATAAAGCCTCAAATAAAGCCATATCGATGATGGACTGATAATTGTTGTTGTAAGCAAACTTGGCCAAAGGCAAGAATCGATCCCACTGCCCTCCAAAATCAATCACACATGCTCTGAGCATATCCTCCAAGATCTGAACTGTCCGCTCCGACTGCCCGTTGGTCTGCGGATGAAAGGCTGGCCTGAGCTCTACCCGGGTACCCAACTCACTCTGTACGACCCTCAAGAAATACGAAGCAAATTGGAGGCCTCTATCTGATATGATGGAAACAGGCACACCATGCAACCGAACAATCTCCTGAATGTAAATCTAAGCCAATCTATCTGAAGAATACGTGGTAACAATCGGAATGAAGTGTGCCGACTTGGTCAACCTGCCGACAATGACCCAAACTGCATCAAACTTCCGCAAGGTCCGCAGCAACCCAACTACGAAGTCCATAGCAATGCGCTCCCATTTCCACTCAGGTGTAGTCATCTGCTAGAGTAGGCCACCTGGTCTCTGGTGCTCATACTTAACCTGCTGGCAATTTACACATCTCGCCACATACTCGACTATGTCCTTCTTCATCCGCCGCCACAAATAATACTGCCTCAGGTTGCGATACATCTTCGTAGTACCTGAATGAATAGAATACTGAGAACTGTGTGCCTCCTCTAGGATCTTCTCCCTCAAGCCATCAACATTAGGAACACATAGGCGACCCTGGAGTCGTAGAACACCATCCTTACCGATAGTGACCTCTTTGGCACCACCCTGTAGTATTGTCTCCCTAAGAGACAACAAGTGCGGATCATCAAATTGACGAGCCTTGATCTGCTCGAATAATGAAGATTGAGCGACGACGCATGTAAGAACTCGGATGGGCTCTAAAATATCTAACCTCACAAGTCTGTTAGCCAAGGACTGAATGTCCAAAGCTAGTGGCCTCTCCTCTGCTGAAATGAATGCCAAACTACCCATACTCTCTGCCTTTCTGCTCAAGGTATCCGCAACTACATTCACCTTGCCCGGATGATAAAGGATGGTAATATCATAATCCTTTAGTAACTCAAGCCACCTGCACTGCCTCAAATTGAGATCCCTCAGTTGAAAAAATGCTGCAAGCTGCGATGATTGGTGTAAATCTCACAGGACACCCCATAAAGATAATGTCTCCGAATCTTAAGAGCATGAACAATCGTGGCCAACTCCAAATCGTGGACAGGGTAATTCTTCTCGTGGGGCTTCA